ATGACCATGTATAGTGTTGGCAGATGATGTTTCTACCTGTTTATTTATATGTACTGTAAGAATGTTCAGGTGTATAGTGGAGCCAACAAGGGGCAAGGTTGTGGTGGCTTCTTGGCCACATCCAGCTACCCTGAGGAGTGAGTAGTTGGAACTATGGGCTTGGGACCGTGGTCTCAGGGGACATCTAGCTCAATTGGCATAACATACTACACAAAAACATTGTTCTACATCCTACTTTGGTAAGTAGAGACTGGGGTCTTAAAAGTTTGCAAACGGCCATCTAGATGCAGTGATGGGTCTTTCCTCGTCTAGAGCAAAGAGTGAAGAAAACCAAAGGTGCATGGAAACGATTAGTCCAAGGGACTAGTAGACCATATGATCCTTTGCCTATATGACCATGATACTAGAAGAACTAGATGGTACCTGGCTACCACTATCAACCACTTAGAAAGGCATCAGTGCAGAAGATCCTGTATAGAGTGGGAGAACAATGTGGAACAAAACTCAAACTCATAAAAAAGACCAGGTTTACTGGTCTGATAGAGCCTTGTTGAGACCCCTGAGACTATGACCTCTAGTTACCCTTCAGGTCTGGAACTGAACTTGGTCCTGTGGCTTCCAGTCAAACCATAGACAGACATATGGGATAAACATTTACATCAGGAAGATACAATCCTTGGAGTAATCAGTCATGAAAGAACAGAATGGCAGTGTTTGCACAGTGGGATAGCTTGGGGTGAGAGTGTATGGGAGGGAAGGACACAGGGAAGAGGTAACTACGGGAAAGAAGTGGGGAAAGAGCTGTTACGTTGTGGGGAATTGCAGTCATTGTCATGGAAACAATATGTATGTACTGCTGTATGGGAAATGAATTTGGCCTGTAAACTTTCACCCAATGCAAAAACGGCAGGGAGGCCACATGTTCTGACCTCCTCTAACCCTACGAGGGGAAGGCAGGATTACCAGCAGTAACCCAAGGCCTATTCCTGCCAGGCCAAACATGCTGCTTCCCTCCAGCCCTTTCACCAACCGTTCCTCCCAAAGCACCCACCACCTCTCTCCTGGGTTCGATAATTCGTTGCAGTGGCCACACAGAACTCACAGATTACAGGGTTTATTAGGGAAGCACCAGGCTACAACTCAAGTTCAGAAAGAATGCTCAGTCTCTCTCCCAGCCCACCGTCCCTCAGCCAACAGTCTCTCACAGTCTCTTTCCCAGCAGTGCTGGTCCCTCAGTGTCTCACTCAGCAATGCGTGTCTCTTGTGTCTCTTTCCCAGCAATGAGTGTCTCAGGAGCCCATGTCTCTTTCAGCAGCACGGAGTGGTGAACCAGCAGTCAGAGAGAGTTCTGCCTCCAGAAGGCCTCCTTTAGAGCCCGCAGGGTGGTCAAACTAGCCAATTATAGCATCAGAACTCTAAGCACCTGAGAGAGAGTGGGCACCTCCCAGAACATTGTTTTGTGCCACTCCCAACAGAAATACTGCAAGTGGACACCTTCAGCAATCAGGAGCTCCTCAGTTGCTCATAGCAAATCCCACCTTGGAGTTTACAAAGACTTATGGGTAGAAAAGCCACACAAAGGAAGTTACTACACTGCACCCAAATAACAATTTTTAAAAATAACTGCCTAGGTAATTTTTATCACAAATAAGGATAAATTTAGCAAGTAGGTGTTAAGAGATTATAGATGATGAACATAACTTTCAGATAACTCAAATATACAATTTAGGGCTTTTCTTAACTGAAGTGGGTATCCGATTCTTGAGTTTGGAGGTGAATTTATCCCTAAAAGGAGGGAATTTGTAGCTCCTCATTTAACTTGTTAGTGTCGATCCTGGAGGTAAGAGGCTAAAAGACATCCAGGAATGCACTTTGCCACTATTTTAGACATCTGTCTTGGATGCAGAAAGATTGTTCAGTACCTAGGATGTATGTGGATTCTTTTCATTTGTAACCCATTTGAAAACACACACACACAACAAACTAGCATCAGGTGTAGTCTAGGGTGATTAATGTTCCATAATACACATTAGAAAAGAATGGTACCAGAATGCTACAATTATCAAAGACTGTTCAGATTCTAATAATGTGACTGTGATTAATATCACTTGGAGGTGGTAATAATTCACTAATTACAGAGGAATGGAAGAAGAGTCAGGTTAACAGAGACCCATGCTCATTTCAAGGAGCCTGGTGGCATGGTGGTGGTGAAGTGCTCGGCTGCTAAAACTGAAAGATCAGCAGTTTAGACCCACTAGCCATTCCCGTGGGAGAAAGATGTGACAGTCTGCTTCCTTGAATATTCACAGCCTTGGAAATCCTAAGGGGCAGTTCTGCTCTGTCCTGTAGGGTATCTGTGAGTTGGAATCGACTTGACTTCATGGGTATGCTCATTCCTATTAGTGAACTAAGAATATTGGAATCAGATTTAGAGTTGAAAAGGACCTTAGATTATCAACCCAGTCATGCTTAAGATTGAGTTCTACGGAGACAGAGTGACTTGCGCAATGACATAACTAGTTTAGTGGTACAGCTGGGATTTTTGACTCTCATTCCAAGACTCTTTCCACTCAAGTCTAATGCCCATCATACTTTTTCTTGAAAATATAAGGATTATCAGAGAAATTATATTGGTGTTCTTCCAGACTATGAGCTGTGTTTTGCTTTCCTTTTTGTCTTCCAGCATCTGGCAAACATATTTTTATTTTTAAATAAAAGTAGGCAATTATTTGATAGTAATAATCAGTATAGATTTTATATGTTGTTGCTGTTATGTGCCATTGAGTCGGCCCCAACTCATAGAGACCCCTCCTTGGGTTTCCGAGGCAGTATCACTACGGAAGTAGATTGCCCCATTTTCCTTCCGAGGAGTGGCTGGTGGGTTTGAACCGCCAGCCTTCTGGTTAGCAGTCATGTGCCTTAGGCACTACACTACCAGAGCTCCTAGATGTTATATATTGATGCAAAATATGTATATAAACCCAAAGGAGCTCTAGTGGTATAGTGGATGAGGGACTTGATTGCTCGCTGGAAGGTCAGTGGTTCAAACCCACCAGCTGCTCCACAGAAAGAAGATTGGACGATCTACTTCCATAAAGATTTAGAGCCTCAGAAACCCAATGGGGGTCACTGTGAGTCAGAAACAACTCAATGGCAGTGAGTTTGATTGTTTGTTCAATGTTTGTTTAAATTAAGTGGTGGTGTAGTGCCTAAGGCATTTGACTACTAATCAGAAGGCGAGTGGTTCAAACCTACCAGCCACTCCTCTGAAGGAAGATTGGGCAATCCACTTCCGTAGTGATACCACTTTAGAAACCCTAGGGGAGGGGTCACTATGAGTCGGATCCAACTTGATGGCAATGAGTTTCGTTTTAGTTTTTATTCTAGTTTGAGAGACCAGCAAGTAGTATATGAGTTTCAGAGTAGCAGATGTCTTGTAGCTAATTCTATTTTTTTCTTAAATGTATTATAGTTGAAGCTTCCTGCCAAAATGGAGATGAAACTATTGAAACTATTGAGGCTGCTGAAGCACTCCTCAATATGGATTCTCCTGGCCCTATGCTGGATGAAAAACGATTAAGTGAGTGGTTGTCTGTTACGATTGTTCCTGTGTGTGTGCGCGCTTTGTTGTTATCCTTGCCCTCTCTATTAAATGCTAAGTATCAAAAGATAAAAGACCATAATTTATACTTTTTTGTGCCCCAAGCATCCCATAGAGCATCTACAGTATACGAAGTATACTTTAAATGATGGTAATGATTTCTAAAAAGCAGATAAAGGCTCACTGACAAAAAAAAAAATATTTCCCTCAACTCTCCAAGACTATTGCCCTGAGATACTTTTCAAACTTTGAACTGGAACTAACTCCTGAAGTTACTCTATAGCTAAATAGCAAATAGGCTCAGAAAAATAATGAATGTCACCTGTAAGTACTGTGGTCCTTTTAAAAATTTACCTACATGAGGCCAAGCTGTGAACAATTAATTTAAAAAAAAAAAAAGACTGTAAGGGGCCAGAGAAACTAGATTAATGAAAATGGAACAACCAGAACAGAAATAATGAGAATGTTCACACACTGTGAAGAATATAACCAATGTCACTGAGCAACTTGCGTAGAAATTGTTGAAATAGGAACCTAAACAGCTGTGTAAACCTTCATAAAAACACAGTAAAATTATTTTTAAAATTTATTTCCCTCATCTTACTCCCACAAATAAGTTGAGATATTTTAAGGTACATTACTAGTTGAAGCACCTTTGCTAAATGTTCGGTTAAATGTTTTTTTGTTTTGTTACTTTTTTTTTCCCTAAATTTAGAGACTGAAGTCCTTAGAAACAAAGAAGTACTTTATTAACTGTCACCTTGTTGCTCCCTCCATTTTAAGAGCTCTGGTAGCATAGTGCCTAAGGCACTTGACTGCTAACCAGAAGGCTGGCGGTTCAAATCCACCAGCCACTCCTCAAAAGGAAGGTTGGGTAATCTACTTCCGTAGTGATACTGCCTCGGAAACCCAAAGGAGGGGTTGCTATGAATCAGGTCCAACTCGATGGCACGTAACAAGCAGGTTATGCAGAATATTTTCTTGACCTGATTCGTGAAAGTATTAGGGTATTTAGAGCTCATAGTGGTCTCTATAGATAGTTATCAATGAATAGTCAAGAATCCACTAAAAATTAACACTTCATGACATAAAATTCATCACCCTATTGTGGATCTGCTTTTTTTTTTTTTAATGTTTATTGTGATTTGTGTGAAAGTTCACAGAGCAAATTCATTTTCTAACCCCTAGCAGTTCATACATGTATTGTCTTATGAATAACTGTTTGAAGGCAGAGAAAGTTTTCTCCAGTGATCTAGCTTGACTTCAAATAATTCATTTTGCAGGAACTAGAGAATACTCTCTATTTCCTGGCTACTTATAAATAAATAAATCCAAATCTGTACCATTCTGACTTTTCTTTCTTGAGATGAAGTTGATCTGCCTTTTAAACCTATGTTCTCTTTCACCTTTTCTAACAAGAAAGCAGTCAAACTCATAACTTTGTTACTAATTTATTTCAAGATATGCTTCCTGAATATTTATGGCATACAATGTTTTTATGTTATATATCATTATATATAGGGATCTCTGGTAGCATAGTGCCTAAGGCATTTGACTGCTAACCAGAAGGCTGGCGGTTCAAACCCACCAGCCACTCCTCGGAAGGAAAGTTGGGCAATCTACTTCCATAGTGATACTGCCTCAGAAACCCAAGGAGGGGTTGCTATGAGTCGGGTCTGACTCGATGGCAAATAACAACAACAACATTATATATTGTATGTATATAATATATATATTGCATATATTAAATATTACTATATACTATATGTAGTGAAAGGAGTTTTGGTGGTGTAACACCTAAGGCACTTGACTGCTAACCAGAAGGTTGGCAGTTCAAACCTGCCAGCCACTCTGCAGAAGGAAGACTGAGCAGTCTACTTCCATATTTACTGCCTCAGAAACCCAATGAGGGTCCCTATGAGTCAGAATTGACTCAGTGTCAGTAAATTTGGTGTGTTTTTTTTTGGTGTTTGAAGCGAGGTGCCCTGGTGGCACAGTGGTTTCAGTGCTCAGTGAATTTGAACCCACCAGCTGCTCTGTGGAAGAAAGACGTGGCAGTCTGCTTCCATAAAGATCAACAGCCTTGGAAACCCTATGGGGCAGTTGTACTGTGTCCTATAGGGTCTCTCTGAGTAGAAATGAATTCGACAGGACTGGGTTTGGTTTATATGAGGTGAAGATCCCTATGTGGCGCAAATGGTTTGCACTTAACTGCTAACCTAAAGGTTGTCAGTTAGGAGTTACTCAGCAGTACTACAGAGGAAAAAGCTGGCCGTCTGCTTTCATTAAGATTACAGCCAAGGGAACTTGTTGGAGCAACTGTATTTGCTAATACAATCAGAATCGATTCTGGCATACAACGCATGACGGGTATTAGGCAGTGTTAATGTTATGTGCCATCGAGTTGGACCTCCTTGGGTTTCTGAGGCAGTATTACTACAAAAGTAGATTGCCCAACCTTCCTTCCGAAGCAGTAAAGTGACATATAAATTAATATATAAGTATTTCTTCTCCTAAGGTTTACAATTTAATTTTGAAGACAGATATTTATGTAAACAACTGTAAAGACCAAAATAAAAGGCCATGACAGGATTGATAGCAAAGTCTTCTGGAAGCAGAGAGTATTCAAGTTGAGAACATTGGAGATTTAGGGAGGGAATATTTTGTCCTGGGCTTTAAATGATGAATACTCTTTTAATAGGTTAGAATGGACAGGAAAAGAGCATTGAAGGAGAGTGTGATTTGAGCCAAAGACACAGAGAAAGAATTAAAAGTTGGCGATACAAAATTTTGATATAATTGCAGTATAAGCTTTGTGGTGGGTGGGAGGTGAGATTGAAAGATAGGTTTGATCAAAATTGTGGAAAATTTAAATAATGTACAATAGAATTTGGGTTGATTTTTTTCCTTTTATTCCTCTATCAACTGTGCGGCGATATGCCAATTCCATTATTTTTTTCTAAGGTCTTTGCACAGAGGAGTTATATGGGCAGATCAGACTAAGGTTTCAGAAGATAACTTTAGAATCAATGTGAAGACTAGAAAAGAAAGACCAGATAAATTGGTGATAGACAGCAAAACTAGCAAGAAGACCTTGAAACAGTCGAGTCAATCAGTTTGTTACCTAATTAGGAAATGGAAAACCGAGAATAGATTTCAAGATTTTATTTTTACTTTGATCTTTATAGAAACAGGAAATTATTATGTGAAATTATTTTGATTTACAATAAGTTTATTATAATTAGCCAATTTTATTTCCATTAGATAATAACATATTTAGTTCATCTGAAGATGATATTGGTGTTGCTCCAGTCACCCATGTGTCTGTCACATTAGATGGAATTCCTGAAGTGATGGAAACTCAGCAAGTTCAAGAGACATTTGCAGACTCACCAGGAACCTCATCACCAGAACAACCTAAGAGAAAGAAAGGTGGGCCTTTAATTCATTTATGGTTAAGTCTCCATGTGCAATCTAAATATTATTTTCATTCAAGGATATTTATGAGGAGGCAGTTAAAACTAATATAAGGGAAAAAAAAAAGGATAGCATTTTTAAAAGCTTAGGTAGAAAAAAATGAAGGACACAGACAAATTAAGAAGTACTTCATATCCATTTTATTATAGTTTTATAAATTAGTGTATACATTTAAAATATTTGACCTGTCTTACGGAAAAGGAATTTTCCAACTTTTAAAGCATCAAACTTGTATCTAAAGCATTTTATCTAAGCTCAGAAAGAGATTGGATAGTGCGGGCCCATCAGCTTTCTCCCAACAGGCATAATTTGAAAACCATCAGTATAGAGTCCAATATAAGATTTCCATTTTCAGGAAAAGGAAATTGGAAGTCAGGTAAGTAATAGAAGAGGAAAAAAGTTAGAATGTTATAAAGTAAGAATTTAATTTTTCACAAACTAAGACTATACTTAACATTCTAAAGTCTAACATTCTTTCCATATCATTGTGTTCTGATTCTACTCCAGCTTGTTTAATATTTTGAGTTTAATATCTTGGTTAATGGCATTATCAGCCAACCAGTAGCCTAAACTAAGGGAAATTCCAGGAGCCAAAATGAAGGAAAATAAAAACAGTAAGCGTGAGCTGATAATGTAGCAACTCTCAAGGGCTAAGGAAGATATATTGGTCGTGGTGTCGAAAAGATTGGACTTGGATTTTACTGCACATGTAAGAGTCAGAAACATGGGTCTTGGACCCATGTAAGATGAGTATTGGACAGAGATCTCAGCATAAAATTAGAGTCCTTGAGGAGCCATACTCTTAGGACTTAGGGGGAAAAATTAACATATTTACACAGAGAGATGTCAAGGAAACTTGTATTTCTTGGCCTGGGCTATGAATGGAGAAATTCTTCCTCAGAGAATGTGTAATCCTAGGCCTGTGTTAACTTGATTTTAGGATTAGATTTTAATTTATCACTGCCTTTGGGAATTCCCAGCCAAATAATTAACATAAAAGTGGCCCCAGGATGATAATAACTTTGCAGCATCTAGCAGAAGCACTTGTAAAATTGCTGAGAAAGGACATACCCTCAACCTGGGTCACACAAGATTTCTAGATAAATAGAGCCCAGTTGAAGGTGAGCTCATGTTTCAGTATGACAGAACACATGAGGAATCATTTACTGATTGAGAAGCAACAGACATAGGAAACCCCAGGGTTAGCAAAAAGAAACTTTAAATTAATGATTATAATTATTAAAATAATATTTAAAAACATGGTAAAAGTATAAGACTATTTTAAAAAGATCAGATGAAACATCTTCTAGCCAAGATGGAATAACAGAAGCTGGATTTATCTTCTCACCTAAAACAATAAAAATAGTGGACAAAATATATGAAAAAACAGTGTTAGAGACTATGGATATCAGTTAACATAAGACATTGATCCCTGAGAGATATGCACTCCTAGAACAGTCAACCATATGAGATCAAAAGGGCAGCATTTGCCCAGGAATAATACTTAGAAGGCAGGAAGGGATGGGTAAGAAAGGATGAATAAAAACAGTAGACATGGGGAGGAAGTGGCAAGAGTGCTGTGAGTTGCAGTCAATGTATGAATTGTTGAATGGAAAACCAATTTGCTCTATAAACTCTCACTCACAATAAAAGTGTTTTTTGTTTTGTTTTTGTTTTTGTTTTGATTAAAAAAAGGCAGTGATCCCTGAGAGACAGCAAGGAAACAAATGAGGTGAGCACTATGATTGCTCTGTGTTACTGCTAGGAGAAAATTTCTAAGCCTCGGCATAGGGAGAAAGAACCCAAGCAGAGCACAGTGATGAGGATGAGCTGAACATCCAGGAGGCAACTACAGATTGCAGGGCAGAGGGTGGGAGAGGAGAGAGCTGCACAGAGAATTATGGCTATCTGAAGAGGGTCCTCCTTGAATATTCAGTTGACTATTCAGTGCATGCATATGAGGAAACTGTCCAAAGTCAGGAAAAGAACCGCCCAATGTATTACCCCAGACATAGTTTTCTAAGAACTTCAGATAATGAAATAATCAAATAGAAACTTTAAAGTAAATGTGATTACAGTTATTAAAGCAAAAGATTCAAAGGTATGGTAAAAGGATTACAGGGAATAATGCCTGAAGCTTACAAAGGGCAATAAATAATGCCTGTTCTAAATAGCCTAAGTGTAAAACTCATAGTTCAGAAGACTTCACATAGAGAATTAAGGACCTTCCCCACTCAGTAGTGAAGGAAAATTAATCCTAGACTAAATGCAGCTCTCATCCTACCTAACAAATTAACTTTCTCCCACATTAAGCTTAATTACATCTATCCCAGTCATTGCCAAATAGTTGATTCTGACTCATAGTGGCTCCATATGGTTTCCAAAGCTGTAAATCTTCATTGAAGCAGGTTGCTTCTTCCACCTTTCTCCCGTGGAGTGGCTGGTGGGTTCAAACCACTGATCTTTTCGTTAGCAGCCCAGTGTCTTAACAAGTGAGCCACTATTTTAATTGTATGACTAGGAATTCCCAGTCAGTAGTAAATAAAAATCTAATTCTAAATTTGAGTTAGCACAGGCTTAATATTATGAATTCTCTGAAGATTAATAGTCTGCATGAACCATGGTTTCATCTATCCTTAGACCAGAATAATTAGATGGTGCCCAGTAGAAGATCTCAGATAGAATGGGAGAAGAATGTAGGACAAAAGTCAAATTGCTGGGGAAAAAAAAAAAAAAAGGCCAGACTAGTGTCCAATCAAGACTAGGGGAACTGCCTAGATTATTGCCATAAAATACTCTTTGAACTTAGAACTGAAGTTCTAGAGATCACCATTCATCTATATAATAGATTGGCTTACAAAATAAACACTATCACCCGTGAGTACTGTGTTCCCTTAAATAATCAACTATATGAGACCAGAAGGAGCTCTGGTGGTACAGTGGTTGAGCACTTGTCAGCTAACCAAAAGGTTGGCTGTTTGAGTCCACTAGCTACTCCACAGGAGAAAGACGTGGCAATCTGCTTTTGTAAAGATTCACAGCCTTGGAAGCCCTATGGGGCAGTTCTAATCTGTCCATAAGGTTGCTGTGAGTCAGAACTGACTTGACAGTGGTGGCTGTGAGGTTTTTTTTTTTTTTTTTTAATGTATTAAATAAGGAGTTCTGGTAGCTTTGGGGTTGCATATGCATGCTAACCAGAAGGTGGTCTGCTGAAGGAAGATGAGGCAATCAACTTCCTTAAAGATTTACAAGATTTACAGCCCTGGAAACCCAATGGGGGTCGCTATGGGTTGAAATAGACTCAGAGGCAGTGGGCCTGGTTTGGTACATGTATTAAATAAATACTCATTGAGGACTTATATTTGCTGGCCCCTGTACCCTTGGAATACAGAACATGAAGAAGACATTATTCCTACTCTCAAGGAAATCACTGTTTAATGAGAGAGACAGACTCATAAATAAATAATTGTAATACATTGTAGTAAGTACTATGAGAAAGAGCCCCGGTGGCATAGTGAGTAAGGCAGGCTGCTATTTAGAAAGTCAGTGGTTCAAACGTACCAGCTGCTCCACAGGAGAAAGATGAGGCAATCTATTTCCATAAGGATTTACAGCCTTGGAAACCCAATGGGGATTGCTATAAGTTAGAATCGACTTGATGGCAGTGAG